GTTTTTACATAGCAGAAAGGACAATAGGGCAAAAAGGGAGCTATCCCATTCTCTCCAGACCTTTTATAAGTGATAAATCCCATCCATGAGGGTTCAGCCCCCATGACCTTATCAACTCCTAAAGGCCCCACCTCTTAACACTATCACATTGACAATTAAATTTCAAGCCATGAATTCTGGAAGACAGTCAAACCGTAGCATTTCAACCCTGGCTCCAAAACGCATGGTCTTCTCTCATTCAAAATACATTCAAGCCATCTCAATAGCCCCCACAGTCTTAACTTGTTCCAGCATCAATTCAAAATCTACAGTTCTGAGTCTCATCTAAATCAAATATGGGTGAAATTCAAGGTATACTTCATCCTGAGATAAATTCTCCTGCTGTGAGCTTGTGAAATCAAACAAGTTATGTAATTTGAAAATACAATTGTGGGACAGGCACAGAATAGATATTCTTATTATAAAAGGGAGAAATGGACAACAGAAAAGAGGTAACAGATCCCAAGTAAGTCCACATCACAAGTCAAACAACATCAAATCTTTAAGCTTGAGAATAATCTTCCACTTCCGGCTTTCCATACACACTGGGGCATGAGTCGGTTCCCCATGGCTTTGGGGGGGGCCCACCTTCACAGCTTTACTGTGGGTACAGCTCACACAGCCACTCTTCAGGAGACGGAGTTGAGTGTCTGCGGCTGTCCTGGGCAGGTGTTACACTACACACTGGTGGCTTTACAGGCCTAGGGTCTTACAAGTTGTCCTGCCCCATGGCTCCATTAAGTACTGTCCTCGTAAGGGCTCTCTGCGGTGGCCTGTTCTATAGCAGCTCTGCACCTGGACCTGGAGGCTATCTGGGACATCATTTGGAATAATCAGGGTGGATGTAGCCATGCTTCCATGGCTTGTACACTCTGTGTTCCTGCAGAGTTAGCAAGACATGCCAAGGTTTTCTACAATCATCTCTGGAATGGAGGTCTGAGCCATAACTGGGCCCAGCTGGGCCACAGCTGAGGCAACCAATGAGTACTGCAGAGGGATGCAGGAAGGCTTGAGGCAGCCTTTTCAAGAAGGCACAGTGCTGCTGGGTCCTCCAGAGAGAACCAATAATATGCCCTCACATAGGAAAAAGGATGAAAGGGGTGAACTCAACCTCTCAAAGTCTTTTATAAGGTCACTAATCCTATTCAGTAGGGCTCCTCCCTCATGACTTAATCATATCCTAAAGACTCCACTTCTTAGTACTATTGATACGGACAGGAGACAGGGAAATATTGGGTGGAAGAGGGCAGTTCTCTGGCAAAGGCCCCACCCTCAAGCATGAATAACTGCAGCCCTAAATGGGAACAGGCATTCCTGTTTTCATGCCTAAAAAGTTGCCTTTGGGCCCACCATATGGTTTTATCCATATAAACCCCAAACCCCCAGCTTCAGAAGATGAGCAGGTGAATAGAAGAGCAGAAGAGTGGCAGAAAAGGAGAGAAAAGTAGCAATGTCAGGAGCAGCTCAGCTGAGGACCGTTGGCGAATTGGCCGCTGGACAGCCAAACTCCAGGGGAAGATCATCTTACCACTCCATCCCCTTTCCAGCTCCCAATCCATCTCACTGAGAGCCAACTCACCACCCAATAAAGCCCCTGCCTTCACCATCCTTCAAGTCCATGTGTGACCTGATTTTTCTAGGATGCTGGACAAGAGCTCAGGTTACAGACAGCTGTCACACTGGCCCTCTGCCTTTGCAAAAAGGCAGAGGCTCCACTGAGGTGTTAAAACCTAAGCTATCTATGGACATCAAGGCTAAAAGAGTACACTGTAACACACGCCTACTTGGGCTCTGGGAGTCGCAGGCTCCTATCACTAGACGCGGCTGTGGGGCCGGAGCCCAGGGGTGCTCACCCCAGCTCCTGCACTTGTTCCTCCTGCATGTTCCCCCTCCCATAAGGGGTCTGAGCAGCAGCAGCAACCAAAGAGATGAGCCACACCCCTGTTGCATGTCCAGCGAGGGGATCAAGAACTGTCCTGTTTCACTATCACATTGGTGATTAAGTTTCAACACATTAATTTGGAGAGACATTCAGGCCATAGCACTCGCTTAGAATATCGCTGCCACATAGGAAGGAATTAATAAGAAGTAGCTATCACTAACAAGGTTATTTTCCCACAGAAAAACCCCAGAGCTCCTCACTGCCCTTTGTTCATAGTGCCTAACAAACATTTGGGGAGAAAAACAATCAATCCTTTCTCAGATGATATAATTATTATTTATGTAAGTCACAGTTTTAATAGATAAAAGAAAACAATTGCTCAGAATATATAAACAATTTATCTTGGTGGTAAGATCAGACGACAATTTCTTTTAAGGCTCCTGATATTGTATGATGAAATAAATGGTATTTTCCACAATAGCCAAAGAGTAAACCTAATGACAACTTCAATTCTCAATATAGGATGATGGCATCCTACCAGAGCCCAATTCAGAAAAGCAATTCAGAAGAAGCAATTTTGCAAAGGGTGTTAATGCTCTAGATGACCTGTTTTCTGCTGCCTTGGCTTCTTCTAGGAACATAATTTATATTTTCTGTAAAAAGGAGAGGGAGTGCTTGACCTTAAGCCATCCTCCTTAAATATTCGTTCCTTCAAATTATATTTTGAAAAATGAGTGTCAGAATTCCATTTTCCTTTTGGCAAAGAAACCTGGTGGGCAAGTATTCTGTGTGTTCATACGAGCATATGTTTTTTATAACAAAACACAATTGTGAGGTAAAATTATTCGGTAGAAACTAGGGTGTCTAATAGAGGTAGGTACCTAAGTATAGCTACCCGTAGAGGTTCCTGTATAAATATGGCTATCTCATCCTTATACTGTTGTAATAATGACAAGCGTCCCCTACAGAAATGTGTATTAAATACAGCCCAATTCGTAGGCAAATTGGAGGTCAAGTGTCCAAGATTCTACTCCATAAAACATAAAGTAAGCTTTTAAAAAAAAAATGAGGTAATTATAAAGAGAGAACTGCCTCAGGCAAAATAAACTCTCAGGAATATGTCCATAGAATGCCTGATTTTGAGCAAATCACTTTAGATAAACTGCTTATGAAAGAACACCAAAGTAACCAAATGAGGCAATTTATTTTAGAGCTTTGTCTTTTACAAACCTGCTAAAAGCAGGGGAAATTCTATCAAAGGTAATTGGCTCTGTTTTAAAATCAGCTGTGTTTTTCCTGAGGGGGGGGAAACATTAAGGAACAGGGTAGATTATTTCTGAACAAATTCAAGCTGATAAACTTATAATAGACATTTATGTGTCTACTAATCAAAAAGTAGTATCAGATCACAAAGAAACACAATTTTAAGAAGGGAGAACAGAGCTTATTTTTTTTATTCCTTTGAAAACTTAACTATTTTATAGGAAATCGGAGGACTGGCTTCTATCATCTTTAACTATTGCATTATACCTAAAGTACGACCTTCCAGGAGAAGCAATTAAATCTGCAACTATAACTGCAGCCAACCCTCAACTAAGTGTTGGCGGCAGAGGCAAAGGTTTAAAAAAAAAAAGATTTCATTCTCTGGTCAATGTGATAAAGGCCCAGGAAGTGATAAAGAATGCAATGAGAAGAAAAGCTATCCCTAAAGCCTGCCTACTCCTTGGATAAATATTAACGTGAATATTTAAGATCAGACTATTACTAAGCAAGCAGTATCATTTGTTGGGGATATCCAGTCAATTCCTCTGTACTGTGCTTGGAGCAGAAGGCTGCCCTTTTGGAGGACATATTTTTGAAGTAACTATATCCTTGTATGGTCAATCAGAGCATGCCTGTTGAGTTAATAAATGAAAAATGATTAACAAGGATCCGCAAACGTATTTTGTAGTCTTGTAGGGACAGAATGAGTCTTACTTGGATGCTTTAGTCAGCCAAACATTTTAAGATCAGAATAAGGACTTTAATGGGATCCATTGGAATTTTGTATTGAATTTATGAAATGCTACACTCCTTTATCTTATTTTGTAAAACTATAAAGAGTAAAAATCTTCATAGTATAATTAGAAATGTAAAATTCCATACTCTGAACTTCTAGTTTTAATTTCACGTTTAAAATCTCTAATCTTATTATCCAAAAATAATTTGTTCCAGTTAATTTTTGTAGCACTCTGATACATGCAATAGCCATTAAATGTTATAAGGTCATATTTTAATTTTATTTTTTGCATGATGCTTCTCTAACTTTGCTAAAATATTTTGGCCATGTGATGGGCCTTGTCAAATTAAATACTCATTAAAATCTTGAAGGAAACCCCAACACATTGGCTAACAACGGTAGTCTCTCTATATATCTTTCACTTTAGGACCAAAAACCATGATAATGGGATTTATGCTTGTCCTGAACTTTTGTGATTAAGAATTGTTTCAGTGTATATGACATTCAAGGAAAAGAAACTTGGGCGTTGTCAAGACGCCCAAGTAGAGTTTTACATGATTTTTAAGCCAATAAGGCAGTTAAGAACCTCCAGGACATTATTATAAGTGAAATAAGCCAGCCACCAAAGGATAAATACTACATTATTCCACTTACACAAAGTATCTGTAATAGTCAATATCATAGCAGCTTAGACCATAATAGTGATTTCCGGGGCCTGAGATGTGAAGGAAATGGGAAGTTGTTCAACAGGTATGAAGTTTCAGTTGTGCTAAATATCTTCTGAAGATCGGCTCTGCAACATAATGTCTATAGTTAACAATACAGGATTGTGCACCACAAATTTTGTCAAGAGGGTAGATCTCAAGTTAAGTGTTCTTATTAAAGAAAGGCCAAACATACAAACAAAGGGTCAGAGAGAAACTTTGGGAGATGCTGGATATGTCTATTACCTTGATTGGAACTATGGTATCACAGGTGCTTGCCTATGTTGAAAGTCAGAACTGTACATGTTAGACATGTGCAGTCCATTGTGTATCAATGACCTCAATAAAGCTGTTTTCAAAAAAAGAAAAACACTGCTTGCTTCGTTTGACAGCACATATACTAAAATTGGAAGGATACTGAGAAGAATAGCATGGCCTCTGTGCAAGGATGACAGGTAAATTCATAAAGCATTCCATATAAAAATTCATTTAAAAATTTAAAAGAAAAATAATTGGAAAAATTCCATGACCTTTAAAATTTTTTGTCCAAGTATTAAAAATTATCTTACTGTTGATTATAAATGTGTATTACATAAAATTTAGTAAAACTAATGTGTAATATGTTATAATTTAAAATACTATAAACATGAAACATTTTAATGCTTCATTTCTTTATTTCTATATTCATTCTATTTTTAAAAAAAAATTGTCCAGTCTGGGCAACATGACGACACCCTATCTCTACGAAAAATACAAAAATTAGCTGGGCGTGATGGCACATGTCTCTAGTCCCAGCTACTCGGGAAGATGAGGTGGGAGAATTGCTTGAGCCCAGGAGGTGAAGGTTGCAGTGAGACAAGATCATAACACTGCATTGCAGTCTGGGCAACAGAGGGAGAACTTGTCTCCAAAAAAATAAAAAAGTAGTCACCAATAGAGGTGAATACTAATTTTAAGTGATTCTCCTATCTCAGGTTCCCGAATTAGCTGGGATAGCAGGCATGCGCCACCATACCTCGCTAATTTTGCATTTTTAGTAGAGACGGGGTTTCTCCATATTGGTAAGGTTGGTCTCAAACTTCCGACCTCAGCTGATCCACCCACCTTGACCTCCCAAAGTGTTGGGATTACAGGAGTGAGCCACCACACCCAGCCTCTAATTTATTTTTATCATTATTTTTCCTAGCTTCTATCATTCATTTATTTGTCCTAGTGGTACTCTGATATAGAAATGAGCAAGCTTAAAATAGGGTAAAATCATCTTTTTTAAACTCAACTTACAATATGCCTTTTAAAAGTGGCATAGAACAACGATGTACAGCATGGCCGTCTATAATATAATCTATAGGACTGCCTTTCTAAATCAATATGTGGGTAACACTTCCCTTACATCTATACTATAGGATATTTGACACCACCGCCAGTACTAATAAAAAATGAACTTACCGAGAAGCTTCCTGTTGTTAATAATATATATGCTTCTCTGAATGTATGCGTTAGAGTAAAATAATACTTCCATTCTTGCCCAAAGCAGAGCACTTTCAAACCTGACACCAATGCTGGTAGTTAGAAACCTATAAAAGATTATCTCAGCCATGGGCTACATAAAATAAATTAAGTTTTAAAGATCGTAAAAGTAAAACCATGTGTCTAAACATATGGCATGTTCATCGGCAGTGTGAACGTTCATTGGCAGTGTGAATGTTCATTATATGAGAAATCTCATCCAGTTTGTCAGGAAACTGAATCAAATATTTCCTGCCATGTAAGCCAAAGAGCTCAAACCAGTTCCCCTAAGGTTTATGGCGAATTCACCTACTGAAAATACTTACTATTAAGGGTAATACACAGGTAAGAAGCTAAAACCATAAATGAAGAAAAATAAAAATTCTAAAATCAGTATTTGTAAGTTCAAACCTCAGATGGATGCTCTTACTCTACCAGAAAAAAAAATGGAACAATCCTGGTAATTAGCAGGTTGGATGAAGACCGGAATAAAAATAGTGCCAGGCATTCAGCCACAGAACATCTGTAAATCCTCCTATTAGTGTTTCTTGAATGTCTTTAAACCATCTGGTTCCACAGCTAGGTCAATCCAGGAGGGAAGAAGCTTGGACTCCTACTTGCCACTTCTAAAATGTTTCTAGCCTAGAAGCGATACATCTATAAATGAATAAATATAAATTTAATGATAAATATATGTTTTCCATTTATATTTTATTAGCTGTGTCAAGTCACATGTGATTATCATCTTCCTACACGAGTGAAGTAAAGTGAAACTGAATATTGGTAAACAGTTTGATGCAATCACTAGATGGAACTTTGAGACAGTGGGTTCCATAAATCCACCTCCTCCCCCTCAAAGTACCTAGCTACACCCTTGATTTATAAGAAAGTAGAATAGCTTCTTTGGGAAAATATTCAAACTGGGTCCACAATTGTATATAGACTCAGTGGACTTAAAAAGACTTAATTGGCATAGGTTGGAAAGGACTCAGATTGTGGTGAGTGACAATGAAAGAGAAAAGCACATGTCATGTTTGAGTGAATCTCAGCAGTGAGGCCTAAGGACTGGGGCAAGTAATGGCTCCACAAATAGTTGAGTGATTATCCAATAATGAATATGATTTCCTTCTATAATAAGAACGCTTTTTTTAAGTTTCCTAGTAGCACAAATTTCTGTGGAGACAAATATCAGTGTTTCCCATCCTTATATCAAATCTTTAAAGATATTGCCTTCTATAACTTCAGAGCAGTCATTAAGTATTTGCCCTTCCTTATCAAGAATTCAGTGACAGGTGCTTATTGGTACTGATCTAGCATGCTCTCAAATACAAGAAAATATATGTTAAAACCCCCTCAGCCCATGGTCCTTCAAAATAGATACCAAGTTATCTTTATTTTTAATTTGTAGTTCTTTTCAAAACTGAAAACAGAATTCTAAGAATAAAATAGAATATTATTTTTCTAAGTGTGAAGACCACATTAAACATAAAACACAGTAGAAGACTTATTTTCTCAAATGGCTCTGAAGTTTTTACATTACTGATTTTTCTTTTAAAAACCAATATAAGAATCCTAAAAGAATTGAAATAATCAAGTGTGTAGATAAATATTATAATCCTCTTGGGAAAACTTTATGTCCAGTCTTCTCTAACATATAATGTCATAACAGCTCAAATTCTAACTTACTGCGGGAAAGTTGTAGCATACATCACAAGAAATCAACCTAATCAGTCTCAAAAGATAAGACTTGTAAATCTCTCGGTTTCAGTTTAAAATTCCATCCCTGATATTTTAATAACCTTAAGTTTTCAAATGCAAAAGATAAAATTAAGCTGTTTGAAACTTCGCACAAATAACTAAATAAATAAACAAATACTAAATTTCTGCAAAGTAATGCAATCTTTAGGATTGAATGTCAGTTTTCATCCCATAAAATTCAACTAATGCAAGTAGAATTAAAATTATCTCATGCATGCAATGATAAATAGCGTGATAAATATGCTACTGAATTCCGTTTTTTGTCTCTTAAAGACTTAGTTCAGAAAACAGTTAGAAATTGGAACAAAATGATAGTGTCTCAGCAGGAAAAAAATGGAGAAAGGAAAAAAGGAAGGAAGATGGTACTAGCTAACAGTCCAGCACGGTGACTCTCAAATGGCCTCATTTATAATTCATTTAAGAAGATCATCTTGATATCCATACTATGCCGAAACATGTTTACTTATTCTCTTTTCCGTGATGCTACCATCCTCAAAAATCTTTATTGCAGCCTTTAAAGTTCTGACTTTTTAAAAAATATGGTGGAGGTCCATAATTTAGTAGTACTTTTACAAAAAGAATTAAAGATTGAACAGCAAAAAACTTCTATAGATTAAGAGGGAGATAGTTCCAGTTTGTGCCTATTACTTGTCATTCTTTCTACCTTGAAATTATACTACATTTTTTATTAAAAGTCATTATAAAAAGTTATTTTCTCTATGTTCAAACTGGAACAAATGAGCTTACATTAAAGCTTATGGGATTTAAGTTAGATATCTGGAAGGAGCTGCTGACAGAGAAGTCTGTTAAGCCCTGAATTGTAAACTTGGAAAATCTTTTTATCTGCTAGCCTTTAAAAGAAATATAGGGTGGTTTTGTCAACTAAGTTTGTTGTAAGACAGAGAATAGAGACTAGCTAACTTTTCTTGGAACATTTTCAGGACTAGTGTTCTCTGATTTGGTGACTATGTAATGAGATCCTCATTATAAATATTTCCTCTAATGCCCTTTCTATATTAATCCATCTCTCTGCCAATTCTTAGATTTTTTTTTTCCAAAAACAGCTTCAGTGTAGCGAAGATAAGTTTCAATTATTCTGATACGGAATGTATTATATAATGTATACATATTTTCAATAAGGGAAATTAATGAGACTATCAATATTTACAGACATAAATTAATCTCTTACGATTAAAATAATTGAAGAGCCTCATTCATTTTCTGTAATTGTAGATTTTTTCTGTTACTCTCTGCCCCACTTGGCCATCCTATCCATATTTTTTAAATAATATATGTATGAATTGGGAGATTTTGCTTTGCACTTCACAGCAACTGACTTCCAAAGGCACCTGAGTGATTTTGTATACAAACAAAGTTGCTGCCTGTGTATTTCACCTGAGGAGTATTTTGGAAAATCTTTTATAGCGCTGAGTTGAGTTGGGCCTATTTAATTTGGTCTGGTCTCAGCTTTCATGAATTTTCTACTTGAGTCAGTGATTTTCAAAGCCCTTTTTGGGTTTTTGTAACCTTATCAACCTTGGAAAGAAATCTTGTTTGCTAAAGCTTTATATATTACTTTATTTCACAGTCAAAGTGCTAAAGATTTTTACCAGGTAAAAAGATCAAACTTATCGTCACTCAGACTACATTTGATTTCAATAGAAATTTTAACTTTTATTTTGTATGTGGTTGACTAAGTATAAATAATCCTTTCCGAAGAGTTCTCAGGTAACCAGTTGCAATGCAGTTTGTGATGGGATGTTGTATTATTTTAAATATCCTATAATCTTTTAACATGATTAAGTGCTTATTTCTGATCTAGGTAAATAAATCTATTCCACAAATTTCTGCCTGTAATCTAGAAGTTGGTGATATTTGTCTTCTAAAATTTGATACAGCTGACACATCATATTTAAAATCAAAATGTACTCTTCCTTCACTCCTGATAAAATAATCATGCCCTCAAATGATATTTCTGTTTCTTTTTCATAATCCACAATTAATCTTTGTGTACTTCCTATTTAATAAATTTTCAGCAATCGAACAGCAATTCATCATTATTTAAATCCAGTGAGCTGCACTTACACTTGATGTGGATTTAACAAACCTGCCTGACTATTCCCAACCTGAATTCTACATCTATCTTTAATTCAGTTTTAAACTTCAATTTTTGGTGTCCTTTTATAATTCTAAAAGTGAATGCTAGTTTTGGGGGCACA